GTGAACTGTCTAGTGGACTGTTAACTAAGGTTAACAGTCTTGAGAAAACACATCACATCATCTTGGAATAGGCAGATTTGATCATGAGACATGAGGATGCAAAAAAGAAAAATTGAAACCTAAGATCAGTGACTCAATACCTACTTCATATATGTGAAAGCTGTTCCATCTTATATAAGCAAACTGAGATTTGGGGACCTAGGTTTTCATCTTCATGAAACCAAGGCATTGAAAAATATGAGAACTAAGGTTTTTTTCAGTTTTATAACTTTTATGGCGCCATGTCTTCAATTGCTGGGTGTCAAAATCTATTTTGGTTTTCCAGAACTCACATATCTGGCAAGTTAGCCAATGAACTGGAAGCTCAAAGGCCTAAAATGGATGTCACAAAGTCATGGAAGAAAGGATGATACAGTGGTTAAAGAATGGTTTTTGGAATCAGAAGACCCCCATCCAGACTCCACTTTACCACATGGGTGAGTCTGGGCAAGTTTGTTACCTTCCTAAGGCCCAATTCTTTCTGTCAAACAAAGTCAAAACTATGGACCCTACAGAGATGTTAGGGAGGGCTTGAGACATAATAAACAAATAAAGTATAGTTCTCATTGTCTCAGGGACTGCTAATTGCAAAGAAAAAAAATGAAGTCCAACCAGCTTCACTAAGAAGGTTGATTGAATGGTACTAGGAACTCTGAGGGAGCCTCTTTATCATAAGTATGGCTTGAATCCTAGAAATAGGAGCACAGCTGGGGACACCCAGGGATCAAGTCTGCTTTTTCTCTTTCACTTGAGTTTCTCCTTTCTGTTTCTCTCTAAAGATTGGCTCCATTCTTCTCTCTGTAGACTGGCTTTCTTATTTATTTCCTCCACTTGGAATTTGGCTGTCATAGCTTTCCCAAAGTGGTAGCCTCAGCTCCCTGTAGCTTGGATCCCTGAGGCTGACTTGACAGCTGGGCAATCTCACCCCAAATTCCTGGGAGCTGAAATTTGATTGGTCTGGCTTTGACTGGGCGGGTACTCTCAATCAAACGGCTGAGAGGCCAGCTAGCCAGGGAAGCTGCCTCTCTCAGCCTGAGGCACTGGGTCTCTGGGAAGGGGTCGAAGGTATCCGTGCACAGGTATTGGGCACTTGGCTCTTAAAGGAACCCACGAGGTGCTGACTCTTGTTTTATAGACACAATTCTGATGCAGTTCTCTCTCCTTTAGGCTAAGGGGCAGAGTGGTAGGGGAGTGCAGAGAGGGTGCTGGAGGGACAGACGCTGACAGTGATACCAATGACCGGAGGGAGAGAGGAATCAAAAAAAAAAAAAAATAATGAAATGGAGACTCTGGAACTTAAAATAAGGAAATGTCAGACCCTGGAATGGAAGCAGACACAGGACACACTGCAGCGGACTCTGGGTCCTTAGTACAACATCAAACCTACCTGTACAAAAGCTACATTTCATAATAATCTACGACGGGTTAGGCCTGTTAAAGAAGATACCAGGAAACTCTGCGGAAAAGCCATGTTAAAACAGTTAAAATCTCATCCATTCATGCAGGGACTACTCATTCCTCCATTCCACCAATGTTTACTGCAGTGTTTTTCTATCTTTTTTATCTCCTGGCACACTTGTACCTATAAGTAAATTTCCTCAGCACACTTGAATTATTTTAGCCAAAAAATAAAAATAAAAAAATAATATATTTTCTGTGCTTTGAACTTCTTTTGAAAATAGTTTAGTGATTGTTAGAAACTGTCTCAGCACACCCCAGATCCTCTCACGGCCCACCAGTTGAGCGTCACTGATTGATTGGTCGTTGTGCTCCTGGCACTGTTTGCCGGCTGCATGTACCGAAGAAAAGAGACATGCCTGCGAGTCAGCAATGAAGGCGGGGTACGATACACACTGGAAAAGGCATGGCTGGGACATCTTGGGGGCATAGAAAATAAACCAAGGGAGGGCGTATCAGCTATACAGCCTTGGGGTTGAAGTTTTCAGGAGTTTGGGGGAGAGAAGAAGAAGGGTATCCAGGCAGCAGAGAGATGTGAACCAGCAGGACCCCGATGGGCACATCCTGTGGTCCCTTGTGTCTGGAATGTAGATGCATGGCTGGGTGGAGCGGGTGAGTGGGTGCTAAGCCAGAGAAATGGGCAGAAGCCCCAATTAAAAAGGGCCTCCAAGGGCTAAACTAAGGAATTTGAACATTATTCTAAAAGTTGCAGGAAGCATGGATGGCTTTTAAGCATGGGAATGACCTGGTGGTCAGCTTTGTGAATTAGATTATTGTGGAGTGCCAAGCTGGCTGGAGAGTGGGGCTGTTTGTTGTAGCACCTGGGAGAGGTGCTGAGAAGCAGGGGGCTCCCCTAAGAATGATGAGGAGGCGCTGACTTTGAGGGCTGCCCTGGGGACAGATTCCTGGTGGCTGCTAAGCCCTGGCTTAGAGGAAAAGAGAGAGGGATGTACATGAAGGGAAAGGTTGAGGTGACTGTGGGACTTGAATAGGAGGTAGCCTAAGTTCCTGAAGATGAGCTGAGAGCGTGGCTCACAGAAATGGAGATGGGTGGAGGGGCTGCCTGGAGGACCATCCAGAGCAGGACCACAGGGCACTCGGCATAAGGAAGAAAGCCAGAGGCAAACTGAGAAGAAAGGCTTTACAGGTGGATGAAGTTCTCTGTGAAATAAAGGAAGAGAGAGTTCCAGGAAAGAGGGAGTGAAAAACTGTCTCTTGGAAAGAAGGATCAAGAAAAATCACAAAGGGGACCAATGGTTTTGGAAAAGAGGGCAGCTAG